AGTGGGTGTGAGGAAGAGAATCCACTCAAATTAGAACTTGAGAAAGCTGCTCAGTGTGCAGACAGAGAGGAGCTGAGTGGTGGGTGAAAGGGCTTGAAAGAAGAAGCGGAGTTGCGCCAAGTCTGAGCCCCAAGGCTTGGCCACTTGACTGGAGAGGTCACAGCTTCCTAGAAGGGGCCGGTTCTTCCTAGGACGGGACGGTGTGAAAGCTCCTTTGCTCTCCAGGATGACAGGGACTGTGTTTGGAGCCCCTGGGGACCCAGTCACCTGGGCACGGTGTGATGTTTTAGAGAACAACTGCAAGTTATCATCTTAGAGGGCATGAGAGTTGCTCCAGGAGTCCTGACAAAGAGGTCAAGCAAGGGCTCCCTTCACCCTGGTCTCAGACAGCAGCCTTGGGGACAGACTGCTTTACAGTTGCTTCTGATAAGTCACTCAGCAACTAACAGACCAAGAGTGAAGGACTCAAGGAATAGGCATCGGGTTGCCATGACCTGTCTACCCTCATTGTTCATGGCAGAATGATGCAACGATGTGGGGAACTGAGAGGGTCTCAAAGAGGGTGGTCACTGGGCACCCAGGCATTCATTCATTCACACCCTCCTTTTGTTTAAATTTTTTTTAATTTTTTTTTAATGAATCACCATGAGGTACAGTTACAGACATACAAACTTTGGTACTTAGGTTTTAGTCATACAATGATCGAGTACCCATACATCCACCAGTGCCCATTCTCAGTCACCAATGTTCCCAGTATTCCTCTCCTCCATCCCGCCCACCCACCCACCCCTGCCTCTGTGGCAGGAACATTCCCTCTTACTCGCCTCTTTCTTGGGTGTTATGGTTTGCAGTGCAGTTATTAAGTGGCTGTCATGTTCGGTCTATAGTCTACTTTCAGCACACATCTCCCATCCCAAGTGGGTCCTCCAAGCACCCTTTACGTGGTGGTCCCTTCTCTACATGAGTTTCCTTTTTCCCCAGCATGTGAGGCTGGCTTCCAAGCTGTGGAGCAAACCTCCTGGTCCTTATCTCTACTATTCTTGACACCCTCCTTTTTGAAGGTGGTTCAAGGGCTCTGTTCTATGAAGTCCAAAGCACAAGAAAAAGACAGTGAAGCCAGCAAAACCATGTTGGCACCCCACCCCCACTCCCCCAACCCCAAGAGCCACCCAAGTGTCCCTGGGTTATCCCCAGTACTGCCTGGCCTAAGGAACCAGTTTGGCTAAGAATCACTGGGACATGTCCCCTGGACCTTCTAAAAACTTCTTGGAAGTCACTGCCCCCCTCCCTTATTTATCTAGCAATAAAACCAGATTTAAAAGTAAAGTGGGGTCTCTTTGTGATAACACCATGGCATGGACACAGGGCTAGCATGCAGGATAACGCGGTCTTTGTTAATGACCTCAGTACTGGGCTGTAGTTATATTTTTGCTGTAGTTGCAGAAAGCCAGAGGCCAAATTTCAAATTCTGCTTATTCCTTCATGGAAAGAAGGGTGGAGAGAAAGGTGGGAGTGACCACAGCGGCAGCGGGAGGAAGAGCTACGGTTTGGGAGTGAAGGTTTTTGTTGACAGTTTGGAGAGAGAACCTTCCAGTCTCCTCCATACAGGTCTACAGCTTTGCAGAGGGTGACACTGACTCATTACAAATGAACCTTTAGGAAAGACTTATCAAAAAGAGCTGGACTCCAGCATAGGGCTATGGGTGGAAGTGAGGTTCTGCATACAGGGGTCCCAGGTCCCCAAGCACAACCAGAAGGAAACCATGAGCCCTGAGCTTGGGGTACCCCTGAGCACTGCAGCTATAAAACTCAAAATAAGGGGCTGGAGCAATAGTACAGCGGGTAAGGTGTTTGCCTTGCACACACGGCTGACCCAGGTTCAATTCCCAGCATCCCATATGGTCCTCCAAGCACCACCAGGAGTAATTCCTGAGTGCATGATCCAGGAGTAATCCCTGTGCATCGCTGGGTGTGACCCAAAAAGAAAAAAAAACCTCAAAATAAAAGGGGGAAGGAGAGTGGGTCAATGGCAGAGGCAAGGAAAAGAGAGAGGAAAGATAGTAGGGCTCTTCCCTTGCATGTGGGTGACCAGGATTCGATCCCCGACACTCCATATGTTTCCTGAGTCTGCCAGGAGTGATCCCTAAGTACAGGGCCAGGAGAAAGCCCTAAGCACAGCCAGCTGTGGCCTCAAAAACAAACAAACAAACAAACAAAAAGAAGGGTTGTATATGTAAGGCTCTGCATTCAGTTTCCAGAATCCTACAGTCCCTCAAGCTTGGTAGTGACCCTCAAGCACATCACTGGGAATAGCCCCCAAAGCAGCAGGTTTTCCCCCCAAACAAAAGTGAAACAAAAAGGAATGTACCATCAAGGATATGAGAACGTATGAAAACAAATTCTTCAATGTTCCTCTGGGCCAACCCTGGTCACGGCATCACAGGTATACAGCAGCAAACACGTCCACAGAAATATCATAGGACAGTGTTTCTCTAACTTGACTACACACCCACTCCCCTACTACTCACGCTGTCCACAGCCCATTCAAGCAGAATCTGGCACAGTGGGCCCCAGTCCTGAACTATTCTGTTGTTTTTATCTCCTCTGGGAGCTCCTATGTGTCACCAACCTCAAAAATCAGTTTCAGAGATTAAAGCATCTCTAACATGAATGCACCAAAAGAAAAACCCACAATGTCCTGAAACACAGATGGGGATAGCACAGGTATGGCCAGGGTCTTGGGCATCAGCAAAGAGGTCACTGCTTCAGATTCCAACAAGGTCCACTCTAAAGGTTGTGCTACGTGTGTCCCCAGAGCTACTGTGAAGGGCCTGGCCAGAGAACATTCTCCTGAAGCAATGCATCCCTCCCATTATGCACCAACAACATGCTGTTGTCTCCCTCCTTCCATTCTTCCGTCCATCTATCATCCACCCATTCATCTGCCTGTCTGTCCATCAACTATCCATCTATCCATCAGCATAACTGCAGAGGCCACAGGATTCTGATACAATCCCTTGTATGTCAGTAAGAGATCAGTTCAATTCTGTTTTCTCTCTGCCTCTTAAGAAACACAGGGAATCCCTGTCACATTTTGTCTGCTCTGAAAGAAACCTAAGGCTTCCAGCAGGGGAGATAACTCAGGGACCATGGATAGATGCAAGGACCTGAGTGTGATCCCTGGCACTGCATGACGCCCTCACCCACCCACCCACCCAGATGTGGCACTTCCAGATACGGCCCTGGGTCTGAGCATCACTGGGCCTGAACAGCACTGCATCATCAGACTGGAACACTGCCCTTCCCTGACCAATTGGCCAAGTACCACCTGGAATGAACCCTGGGCCCCTGAGTTCCAGCTGAAAGAATCAAGAGAAGGAGAAACTGAAGGCTCAGTTCCCAAACTGGAGCACAGTACAGTACAGATACTTTGCATATACGCATTTCACAGGTTTTTACTGCCCTTGGGCTTCAGGTCTTTTTTATCTACAATAAAAAGAAAGATGAGGGCTGCAGGTAGGGTGCTTGGATTGCACACCATTGACCCTGATTTGATCCCGGTACCCCATCCGGTCCCCCAAGTCCCTCTAGAAGTGATCCCTGAGTGCAGAACTGGAAGTAAGGCCTGATCACCACCAAGTGTGGCTCAGAAACAAATAATAATAATAATGATGAAAAAGGTGAAAAGTGGAGCTATACATTCAGCTTATTTAACCGTAGTGACAACTAAACTAATCTGCAGCAGTCTCTGTAGAGCACTGGGATGACCTTTGCGCCAATGGACGAAGATTCTGGGTCAAGTTCAGTTTGGCTAACACACAAAAATGAGGAGGTAAAACATATCCATTCGATTCTTTTTACAATTGGAGTTGGGCAGAGGAACCTTCCGCGCATCTCATGGCCTACCTCCCAAGACCTGTCTTCAACACCTCTGACCGCCTTTATTGCAGTGATTTGCAAAACCCAGGTCAACAAAACCTTTGTAGCTGTGAAACACACATCCGGGTGGCAAAGACAAGACAAGCCGACCAGAACTAGAACCGGGAGAGCAACAGGGAGTAAACCAGGGGCTAAGGAGATGTGCCATTCTTGAGAGGAAAACAGCTTAAGGCACAAGCGACTTGGCTGACTAGGATGCAAAAAATCAAATTAAAGGAAGCGGACCCCGGAGCAGAGCCTGAAAAGGGCAGGGACAGTGGAGGCCCCGGGGTTCCTCTGCTGTGCACATCAGCGTCCCTTCCTGCTCCCAGCACCTATATACCACCTCGCCAGACTGGGAAACAGAAAACTCTCCCTGGAAACTTAACGCGCCTGGTGGGGGGACGGGGGACTTTAAAATAAAAGCCACACCAACAGACCTTCTGCAGACCCGCGGCTGATGCTCCTTTCAAACGCATTTTACAGTGATGAGCGGCTTAATCCCCAACTCCGGGTGGAAGCCCCCACTTTCTCCCTCCCGCTAGAAATACCCGAGATCAGAAAGACCAGGAAAGGGGCGAGGCACGCGCGCAACGGAGCGGGCAACACCCCACCTGGGCCCCAGGCTGCGGGGATAGGGTAGGGGGGTGCGTTCCGGGTGCTCCCCCCAGGTGGGTTAGTCCTGCACCTGGTGCAGAGGAGAGCCGTGTAGGGGACGGGGGGCTGCGGGCTTTGCCTGGGTAGCGGGGCGCAGCTTGGGAGGGCACTGGGAGCCCGGCCCAACCCTGCAACCACCTGCAGGTTTCGCCGCCGCCGCTGCCCCGGGCGGCTGTGCACCTCCCCCAGGTGCCAGAGAGGGTCCCGAGCTCCGTGGGGACCTCAGTTTCCCTCGGGAGGGGGGGATGGGAGCCCAAGCTTGCACGAGGTGCCCCTGAGCGGCGGGCGAGGCCGAGTGGCCCCGCGGGGCCCGGGCCGGGGCTGGGCATCTCGGATGCAGCAGGGAGGTGGGTGCGGAGGGGGAGCGCCGCATGGGTGGGTGGGGGTACTGAGCCCGCGCACCCCCCAAGCCCGGCCGGCCTTACCTGAGCCCGAGATGTGGACGCGGAGCGGGCGGCCCCGGCTGGAGCACGACGACAGGTCACTCTGGGAGCGGCCGCGGGGGCTCGGGTCCCCGGGCGGGCGGCGCGGAGCGGGCGCGGGCGCGGGGGGTTCGGCCGGGGGCTCCTCGGGGCTCCCCGCGGCCGTGGCCATGGGGCTCCCGCGGGCGGGCGGCCGGCGCGGGGCGGCGGGAGGAAGAGAGAGAAAAGTTTGCACAGGAAGGAGCCGCCTACAGCCCGGCTCGCTCTCCGCCGGCGGCAGCCGCAGGGCCGGGCGCTGGGCCGCCCTCGGTGCCCGCCAACCTGCCCGGCTGCTCCTCCCCCCGCGCCGCTTTCCCCCGGGGCCCGGGCACGGCCCAGGGCAGGGGTGTGTGTGGAGGGGTGGGGGAGGCGGCGGCCTGACGCTCCCCGGGGACCCCGCCGGGAGCCGAGCCGCGGCGAGGCCAGGGCCAGGTGAACAGCGTTGGCTTCCGAGGGATGCCCTGGACCACTCCCGCCCCCCGCCCCCCGAGTCTCCAAAGGGGGGATGGAACTGTCACCGGCACGCCCAGCGTTCAGGGAGGAAACGCGGGTGCCGCCAGATCTGCCGGCGTTTGCAGATCCCGGAATCCTGGCGGTGGCCTTTCAGTTTTTAAGTCCAGTTCCCAAGTCCACGGGGCCGTGCCCTCAGATAAGGGTTCTCCCTTCCTCAGGCTTCCCCGGGCGCGATCCTGGGTGTATGTGTGCCGGGGAAGCCCCGGGGTGCTGTTGAACAGACTCATCTGCCCAGCGCACGGGTTACATCCCTCGCAATCTTCTTTTCTAACTAGAAACACTACCCACAGCCCCGATGTCTTGTTTGGAAATGGCTTAATCAACAACGCCCGCCCCCCCCCCCCCACCACCACCACCACACACACACACACATACACCGCCTAGTAGGATTCTGAAAAATATGAAACGGGAGATTTTAGAAGTTCATGGGTGGACTTCACTAGCTGTCTGACTTTTTTGGTTTCACTCTTGGGCCCCCTGGGAGTGGTGGTGGTGGCTGGCCTGGAGTCCAAAGCTGGGAATCACCTGAAAGCTCCTGGCAAGGAAGCAATGGAAATGTCCTTGGGCTACAGAGATAAGCAGCCCTAAGAGAGGCAAGAGGGGTTGGGGCCAAGGTTAGCAGTGGCATTCACTGACACGCCTCATTTTCCAGGTGTTACCATGCACTCAGTGTACCATTACTACCTTCTAGAAGGAATGACAATTTGACCTTAGAGAAGGGGGGGGAGGGAAATAGGAGGGATCCCCCTACCTCCAAAAGGGGAGCAAGGGTGGATGATTTAACTAGGGAGGGAGGAACATTAATTCCTGCCAGTAACACCTAATTGATTACAATAATTAACAACAGCTCAGTCTTGGTCATTAAAGGTGATGCTTGAATCACTATATCCTGCCTTCCCCCAGCAGGAATCCTGTAGGACTTTGTAGTATAGAGTTCTCACAGCCTCTCCACTGTAGAGCATTTGCCTTGCATGCTTGAGTCCCTCGGCTGCATCCCTGGTGCCTCCAACAAAGAAGCATACCCTCTTCCATTTGGACACATCCCGATGTTACTTCATTGTTACACATCCCAGTGCTTTTCTTAGGTGTTTGGAGTTGTTCAGGACCAAAACCAGTAAAAATGAAAGAAGCCTTGGGGCTGGAGCAATAGCACAGCGGGTAGGGCATTTGTTTGCCTTGCACACTGCCAACCTGGGTTCGATTCCTAGCATCCCATATGGTCCCCTGAGCACCGCCAGGGGTAATTCCTGAGCGCAGAGCCAGGAGTAACCCCTGTGCATTGCTGGGTGTGACCCAAAAAGCAAAAATAAATAAATAAAATTTAAAAAATAAAGAGGAAGTTGTACTGCTTGTTAAACATCCCTTTAAAAAAAAATGAAAGATGCCTCTTCCTCAATGCTGCATTGTTTGTATCATTGAGAAGATGATATAAACCCACTGAGGTGGGTTTCTCATATACCCCAAATCATCCACAGAACTCCCAATGCTATTTCTCACAGTCATTTACTACCCTGTATAATGTATTACGCAGTGAGGCTATCTGACGTTCTTATCTCCACACTCTCAGCGTGCACACACACATACACACACACACACACACACACACACACACACAGAGTCTTCTCCTATTCAGGACTCCCACACATGATGTGCCTCTCCCTATGCCCACAGTAGGAGGGCTCACTTTACCCATCTCCGCCTTAACCCGCTTCGTCATCTCTTCTGAAGATTATAAAAAAGGGAAGGGTAATTAACGGCTTCAGCACATATGAAGTCTTCCGAGAAATGACCAGAAATAACACTTGTTGGCAAGGACATGGTAAAACAGAAACCCCTACATGCTGTTGTTAGGAATGTTAGGAATGTAAACTGGGGCATCCACTAGGGACACCAGTGTGGGGATCTCCCAAAACCTAAAAAATAGAATACTCGTCTGAAGCTAAGTATACTATGCCTGGGTATTTATTTAAAGGAAACAAACAAACAAAAAAAACTAACAGGGAAATCTTGCTATATGACCACATTAATTGCAGCATTTTTTACAATAAGCATAAGGCAGACATGAAGTAAGTGCCCATTTTAAGGGTGAATGGATAAAGAAAATATGATATTCGCCTACTCTTAATATTATTTAACCATCACAAAGGATAAATCTCACCATATGCAGCATGGATGGGCCTCAAAAGTATTTGTGCTACGTGAATTAAGTCAGAGTGAAAAAGGACAACCTCTCATATGTGGAATCTAAAGCCAGCAAACAGAAGCAAGCAAAAAACCAAACCAAAACAAAAAAACATGCTAGAGATTCAGAGATCAGATGGTCAGTTGCCGGAGGTAATGGGTGAAAGTGAGAGAGATGGATTGAAAGGCACCCCCAAAGTAAGTAAACATATACCTGGATGTATAAACAAATGAAAGCATGCCTGCAGTTAGGCAACAATAAAAGCTGACACATTTGAGTGCCTTTTGTGGTCCAGGCACTGTGTGGGTCTCTTCATGACCTCAGGAAACCCTCACCCCATATTCCTCACAACCTGGAGAGATAAGACAAGGATTAAGGTGCTTGCTTTGGCCAAGGCTGACCAAGGTTTGATTCCCAGCACCAAATAAGGTCCCCAGAACCCCACCAAGAATGATTCCTGAGCACAAAGCCAGGATTAAGTCTAGAGCATGGCCAGGTGTAACCACCCAAAACAAAGAAACACAACAAGCTTCTAGAAAGAGTCGCACCATGCTAGCTGCCTCTGTTTATAGGTTCCCTTTGCCACTCATTCCTTCAATATCTGCACAGTGACTTCTGCTCTGACCATCATCCATTTTTGTTGTTGTGGGGGTCACACTCCACGGTGCTTAGGGGCTAATCCCAGTTGAAGCTTGTAGGGGTATTGAATGCAGACCTGACATCAATAAGGCACGTGCTCATTCCTGGCCCCCAAGATCACGTTTGAATACTGAGACGCCAAAGGACCTGGGACTTTTCAGGCTTATATATTATACCCTCCCCACACCACAGCCCTGCAACCCTGACCACTGGCTTCTTTGCTGGACTTTGCTCTACTGGTTTCCCCAGGCATTTCTCCAGCCTCAGTCTCTTCATCACCCTCTTCTTGGGATCTTTTCCCCCTCTCTGCTTTTACATGCTGTTTCCTGGGTGTCCAGCCTCAGTCCCTCATCCTGTTTGACCTCTCAGCTTTGACTCTGAGCAAAGCAGATCTCTTTCTCTTTCTCTTTCTCTTTTTCCTTCTCTTTCTCTTTCTCTTTCTCATTGATCTCTTTGTTCATCCAGTCTTCCCTTCTGAATGCCACATCTCACTGACCAGCCATCTTTCTGTCACATTTCCTTCACCTTCAGCAGCCCACGTGCCAAGAGCCAAATTCCTCCATGGTGAAATGCTTCATTGTTTTTCTTCTCCCTTGAAAACAAATCTACCCTAAATCGACATCCTCCATGCTGTGTCACTGCTACTGTGGTCTGGATCTTCATCTGATTAGTCTCCAAGGGAGAGATCGGCTGCTCCCTGTGCCCATCTTCTTCCTAGAATAAACTTTTTAAAGTGCTCACAAGTCTTTGCTGCTCCTCTATTGGAAACTTCACAGAAAGAATCCATGACACCAATCTAAGTGTTCATTTCTCCCTGTGGTGCCGAGATCACGGTCCTCTGCTTTGCCCTAAGCTCTCTCTTCATAGCAAGTACATGTACTCTGCTCCTTAGCATGCAGACTTAGCGCTGTAGCACTGTCCTCCTGTTGTTCATCTATTTGCTCTAGCGGGCACCAGTATCACCACATTGTGAGACTTGTTGTTACTGTTTTTGGGCATATCTAATACTCCATGGGGAGCTTTCCAGGCTCTGCTGTGTGGGCGGGATACTCACGGTAGCTTGCCAGGCTCTGCGAGAGGGACAGAGGAATCAAACCCCGGTTGGCCATGTGCAAGGCAAACGCCCTACCCGCTACTCTATAGCTCCACCAACATGCAGACTTACTTGTTAGAAAATATAATGCCATGTTTTATTAGAGCAGGGCCCTTTATCTTTGCTTGTTACCAAGTCTGTTTGTAATCTGAAGACCTTGCCTTTCGGCTATTTTCTTTTGATTATTGTCTCTCTTCTGATCTCTGTCACTTCTTTCCAAGTACCACTTGGACCACCTCCCACCTCTTTCCCTTGCTCATAGTAGTTTTCTCTACCTGTGATCTTGATCACTTGATCACTTGACTCCCCGTTACTCATCAATTTGCTTGAGTGGGTGCCAGTAACATCTCTATTCATCCCTGTCGTGTGCTAGAGTATCCCAATGGCGTCTGCTTGTTCTAGGAACATGAACAGCCTCAAACTGATTGTTCAGGGTCTTGACGAAGAAGTCTGATCATCTTGTAGGTGGGCGGCCACGTGGTCTTTTGACATCTCGTGGAATCCAGTCAGTAATGGCTCTAGTCCAGCGGTCGTCTCCAAATCTCATTACATGTCCAACCCATCTGATTTTCGACGCCTTGGCAAACGAGAAGGTGTCCCTGATTTTTGAGCGTTGATGGAAGTCAGAACTCTGGATTCTTTCTCTCATTTGAGTGAAACGTGATACTCCAAGCACAGCTCTTTCGATTCCTCTTTGGGAGACCCGAATAGAGTTTTCATCCTGTTTTTGTAGGATCCAGGTCTCTGCGGCGTATATTAATGCAGGAAGAACAGTGGAATTGAAGAGATGTGCCCAGAGTCAGAGGTTCTTTGTCCTCTGAACTATTTCTTCGACGCTCTTGAAAGCGTTCCAAGCCGT